TTCAGGGAGCCTATGGCTCCTCCATCCCCAAAGGAAGCTTGGGCACTTGCCGCCATATTGGGTGGAGATCGACAGGACTGTTAGAATGCCACAGTTGGCTGCCTGAGAGTAGCTTTGAGCTCTGGGAACACTCATACCACACTTTCAAAATATTTTTATTTTAAAATTTCTTACAAGTATTTCATCCGTTACGAGAAAAAAGCAAGTTCCAAAGGGAAAAATGCACACACTGTTGTACTCCATGTCCGAAAAAGCAAAGTGAATACTTTTCTGCTGCCAGTAGGCTTAATTAGGGTAGACAAGGAAGGTACCATTTAAAACGATGGTTTTCTAAAAAAGGCACTGAAGGAAATGGACATGACATTGTCAGAAATCTATGTTCCGGGAAATTTTTTTAATTTTTAAATTTTTTTTAATACACTAGGTCTATTTTAAAAAAAGAGGAATTCAAAGAGACAGGAGTGAGAGTTAAGTCTTATTATAAAAGATTCTGTAGACTTAGTGTGTTTATGTAAAATTTGTCATCCTGCAAAGCAGAAGGGTAAGGTTTTATAATAGTGGACACAATCAGTTTTGGCTCCTTAGGAATATTGTCTAAATTGTCTTCCCTTTTCTAGCTAAACTGCTGAAGTAAAAATGTATCAGAAGATTAATGCCCTTTTATCTAGATAATAATAATATCTTATAACTGCCAAGCTGATCACACTTAGATGGCATTTCATTAAATCCTCTCCACCCTGTGAGATATAAATTATAATTGACGTCTCTTTCGGTATGAGGAAGTTGTGTTTGAAGTCGGTTATCTGATCTTTCCAGGACCACAGGTGACGTAGCTGGGCCCTGACAGTGGGAATTCTGACTGTGGGCCTTGAGCTGGCTGGGGACAGCAGTTAAGAGAATGGGCTGTGGTGTCAGTGGGACCTGGGATTGTTCCTCAACCGTATCCTTAAGAATGATTTAACTCTCAATCCTCAGTTTTCTTTTCTGTAAAATGGGGGAAAATAATACCTATACCTCATGGTTTTGTGGTGAGGATTAAATAAGATTATTACTAAATATGAAGTATCTACTTGGCATACAGTATGTGTTCAATGAATGGTTATTAGTATTACTGATAAATAACACAGAGAAATAAAAATAATGACTTAATAATACCTTCTTATTTGGAAGAAAATAATACTTTAAAACAGTGGCTCTCAGCCAGGGCAATTTTGCCACCCGCAGGACATTTGGCAATGTCCAGAGAACTTTCTGGTTGTCACAACTGGGAGGTTCTACCGGTGTTGCATGGGTAGAGACCAGGGATGATGCTAAAGCTCCTACAATGCGCAGGTCAGCCCCACAACAAAGCATCATCCGGTCCAACGTCAATAGTACCCAAGTTGAGAAACCATCCACCAAAGCAACAAGGATCCACTGAGTATCCTTTTAATGAGTCATGTAAACATCCCTTCTCCAAGCACAGAAGAATTTGAAAAGGAGACAATGTATTATCTTGGCAAGTGCAGAATACAAAAATAAGTTTAAGGAAATGACACAGTTTATGTTGGACATATGAATAGAATGATAATCTGGACGTTCTAAGTAGAAAGAAAATGTATCAGTTTAAGAAAAGTTCTTTGTGGTTTAGAGGGAATAGTTTTCAAAACTGCCAATGTATGATATAATTACTGAAAAATAGAAATTTTCGTATGATGAGACAGCTAAAGTCATCAGCAAACGGCCTTAGCTCACTTTCCATCATTCTTTGAATATTTTTCAAAGGCTTGGGCTTTAGTAACACAATAAGACGTGACTTAATTCAAAAAGGAGTTTTTATCGAGGTAGAAAAAGAACATAATTTAGATTTATTGGTATAAAGACTGAAACGCAGTATTCTCCTACTTAAAAATCAGGAGATGAGTATTTTTCATGATGATCTTAGTCTCTTTAATTTGAATATTTCAAAACTAATTATATTACAAAAATTGAATCCCACACACTAATTCACTTGGTATTGATCATGATGAACTAATTTCTTTAGATTTATGATCTGAATAATTTATTTTTGTGCAACCCACTCCGCATTAGCGGCTTTTGCAAAGTAGTGCAGAAAGCAATCTTTTGCCAACTTCCATTCACGTTTGGGAAGAATTTCCTGTATGTATGTCAAAATCTGTCACTACGGAGCCCAGAGATGTCAGGTTATATAGCGCACCAACGGAGAGGTGCAGGGAACATTTATAAAGGGGGGTTATTTTTTTCATGGAAAATATTAAAGAATGACGCATTGTTGCAGTTAGAACAAAGTCTTACCACTGTGACTGTGCCCTGAGTGCTGTTCCAGGAGGGCCCTCAGGGGTGTTGTCCACATAATCAACCAGGGCAGGGCACACACTACCCTCGCCCTACCGGGGCCAAATGCCGCAGTGGCTGGAGGTGAGAACCAGGCGTGGTGTTGAAAGGAGAAGAGTGGGGATGGGAGAAGGGAGGAGTCTTTACTGAAGTCTAATTGACAATTAAAAAGTGTGTATCTTTAAGGTGTATAATGATGATTTGATCTACATGCACATTGTGAAATATTCGCCACAATTAAGCTGACACCTCCATCACCTCCCGTAGTTACCGTTTCTCTCCTTCGTGTGCGTGTGCGGTGCAGTCAATGTGTATTCATCGTCATCCCATATGTGCAAGCGCTGTGTTTGTGCTGGCAGCAGAAAGTGAGGACGGCAGGATAGAAAGAAGGGAGGACAGCTTGAGATGGAACCACCTGGCTCTTTCCTGGTCTCCTAAAGCTGACAGGTTGCTGGGAGGACTATTAAACAGATAATTAGACAAACAATTCATTACACGGATCGTAAATACAGCAACAGAAAGAACTGGGTATTATGAGAAAGAAGGAAAAGCGGAGCTGGTCTAAGCTGAGGATTGGGGAGGTACACTTGCTGAGTGTAAGAACCGCAGAAAACAGGCGTAGCTCGTTGTTCGTTGACAAGCAGCGAATCTCAGACATAAATTATTCCTAATTTAGCCTGAGGGTCTAGGCCTGGAAGAGACCTGGAGTCCTGCAGGTGGTGACGATTTTCACTAGGAAGCTAACAGAACACAGCAGAATCAACAGGATACTCGAGGGTTCCGGGGGGCCTTGGTTAGCTGCCCAGTGACTTCCGTGAGAACCGGGGCTCTGAGGACGGTGAGGCTGCTGAGTGCACAGAGAGCCTGAGGAGGCCAGGGCTGGCGGACACGGCCCGAAGGAGTGAGGAGCAAGAAGAGGTGGACAATGAGCCCTGGAGCGACAGGCAGTGAGGTCACAGGAAGTGGAGGCAGCTCCAGGGGGCAGGACGTGGGGCCGGGGGCCTGCAGCGAGGCCTCGACCTGCACAGGAAGCAAAGGGCATCACCAAGGAGCAGGCAGGGAGATTATTTTTCATGTTGGTCATAATGAGGAAATTAAGTATCAGTTACATAAACCTTGCTGGGGCTTTTATCCTGTTTGGAGCTTCTCTGACAAAATAATCTGGCTTTCTGGGTGGTATTTGTGAGGGCCAAGAACCAGAGAAGGAAGATGGGAGCGTGGGGAATTGCTCTGGGGCCTGTCTGCCTCGGCCCCTTTTGGGCGACGTGAGATATCTGCCTCGGATCCAAATCAGGAGAAAATAAATCCCCTTGCCTCCCCTCTCCTGATGAAACCGTCTATACGTGACTCTCGGTTGAGATAAATCTGCTTTGTGTTTTAATAAGACCAAAGGTTGAGGGACGGGCAATAGGTAAGAAGTTGTTGGAGATCATATTGATAATTCATCCTGTCTAGACTGAAAAAGGAAAATGATGAAAGAAGGCCAAACAACCCTAAAAACCCCGACCCTACTAGGGCAAGTGGGGGAGTGGAACGCACTGAGAAGTTAAAATGAAGAGAGAATATACGTGAATATAAGCTTTTCTTTTCTTTTACCAGTTGTAAACAATGTGGTACGAGGGAAGATGGGAAGAGATATAAAAATAACCAGCATTAAGCTAAAAGGGATAATTAGAGGAGCCAAAATAAGGGACGGCTGTTGCAAAGCATCCAGCTAACTTTAGGGACTAGCGTTTCCTTCCAGGAGGCTGGGGGCCTTAAATCTTTCAGGATTTAACAAGATCCTAAATGTATATGTCTTAAATACACACAAACACACACATTCTTTGCTTTTTCCTCAGAAGGAGGGAGACACTGGAAGATGTGTTCTTGGCTGTCATTTAGAGAATAGCTTCTAGTACATTTTATTTTCTGTTTAAAGGTCCGGAGAACAGTTGCCGAATAGAAATTGGTCCACAGAAATAACATGGCTTCCTGGAACTCAGGGGGAAGGAAACGGGCGGTTTCTTTAATTACTATGGTATTTGTGTTTGTGTGTTATAAATAAAGATAGCCTTCAGGCTAATGTCCTCAGGAGGGAAGGTGAACCTGGAAATGAATGAATTTGGAATGTATACGGTTGTGTTGAATTTGCTAGGTTAAGTAAGAAAATAATGCTCTCTGTTTTCAATATCCTGGCTACATCAGAGAGTGGTTAGAAATTGTTCTCTGATATTTAATCTGTTTAAATTCAAGGGCATTCTTATTTACATATGCAGAGCTAATGACTTTAACGTAGGCAAGAAAGCTCATTTACAACAAAGATGTGATTGGGGTGGCAAGAGGAGTGTCAATAGGGCCTTAATTAATTGATTTGCTAATTATTCTTTTCTGCTGGGTGTTACGGTGCTTGTACTAACGAGGGGCAGGAACGAGAATGTGCAAGCTATTTTAACTCAGCAGTAGTAGCCACAGCTTCTGGCCATTTTAAGATATTTTGGGATCCTTCCCCCCTTCTTTTATGCTGAAGTTGTGGACTTCATAAAATTGGAGAACTAAATACAGTGTGTACACTTATTTATCAGCTATGAGATCTAGCCCAAGTCTGGGCTTAAGAGGTGTTTAGTGAAGTTGGAAATAGATGAAAGATTTGAATTTAAATAAAAATTAAAACTGTGTTCCATAGCTGTGTCATGTATTTATTTCTTCAGGCTTCTTAAAGACTCTGACTGGTAATAGATACTTCCATGCTCGTTGCTGTAGGAAGTTCAGCTTCTCTGTAGGCCTACATTTTTTGCATTTCTTTGAAAGTCGTGATGCTGAAGAAATTCAAAAATCCCCAGGAGATCCTGTGCAAACGCAATCTCGTTTTTACGTCGATGTGTTCACTTCTCCTGTCTCCTTGACCTGAACCCTTCACTCCATCCCCTTTGTGAGTCCTGTATAGTTTCTTCCTTGGGCACGCTCATTCCCAGCACCCAGCTTTTGCTTAGGCTGTGCCTCTGGCCTAGAATGCTCTCCGCCCTTGGCACATCCTCTCTCCATCTCACTTTTGTCCTGTCTCCCCGGTGATTAGGAGGAGATGGGGATTTGTGGGACCGGCTGACATCTCTTAAGCATAAATCATGCTTTAGGTGCTGTACTGACAATTTGCATGCATTGATTAGTAATCCCTTCACCTTACAGATGGGGACCAGGCTTGGAGGCTGCCAGTGGGCTCACAAGTTATAAGTAGCATAAAGCCAGAACATGAATCTGGGTCTTTTTCTGGTCATTTCAGGACTTAATCTCAGAGTGCCTTGAACTGCTAAGGCTTTATTTCCCTAACCAGATAGTCAGCTGCCAGAAGGCAAGGACTTTATTTTTACTCTCCATGAGAGCAGGCCCTCAATAGTTACAGTTTTCTGCTGAAATAAAAAATAAAATGTAAAATGTTACAAAATTTCATAAATAGGTTAAACATTGGAAGAAAGAAACAAATCCTAGGAGATTCGTTTCTCAAAATCACGACATGGACTCCACAAGCCACTGTGGTTCCTGGGAGCCCGTGGCGCCCGCACAGGCCTCTGGAAATGCATGGTGCTTTTCTTAGGTCGTCAAGATACTGGAGATATTCTTGCTCTTAGTGGGTGGTAGACAAGGACCTCAAGTGTCCTGAAGAACGTGGGACAGTCCCTCCAAACTGCCAGGCCCTAAGTACTAACAGCACCCCTGCCGAAAAGCAGCAGCTGGCTCAGCAGCCTAGTGACAGAAAACGTTACCCAGAAGCTGGATTAAGTGCCGACCTAGCTCCGTTTTTTTCTAGCTGTGTGGCTCCCATGATGTCAATAAGTGCCCTCTGCTCCTGGCACATGGTTGGTGCCCAGTGACGTCAGCTCTTACCCCCGGCCCCTGGAAAGTGTCCTCGATGGCAAGATATGATCTTTGGGGAGAGAAAGAACTTCCTAGACTCATAGTAACAGTGTAAGAATCAAAGTGTCTTCTAAACCAGAGCTTCTCTGACCTTGATGTGCTTACAGATCTCCTGGAAATGTTCTTAAGACGCAGATTGTGATTCAGGACAGTCTGTATTTCTGACAAGCTCTTGACACTGCGGCCGTTGTCTGTGGACTCAGGTTGAGCGGTCAGAGCTCACTTAATAAATCAAACAATCAAGCGCTTACTGCATGTATATTGACACCTTAAATTATAGAGATGGAGGTAACGGAGGCTGGATCGAACGAGTAGAGAATTTGGTTTCCTCACAGAAGGAACTTCCATCTGCTTTGTCACTTTTATCCGAGAGAAGGAGAGAGAGAGAACATTTTCTGTGCATCACTGTATTTCTCTGGCGGAAAAGTCACAGAAATATTTCCTACGTGTATTTCCCCACTAAGGAAAAAAAAAGGGCCATTTTTTGAGTTTCCAAATAATTTTAGAGGAGATATTGTAACTAAATAAAGGGAAAACTTGGCCGCTGTTCTTGGAGACAGGGTGCCAGCCTCACACATCTCAGAAGTAGTGTCAGCTGTGTGTGTGTTTCTGTGTGTGTGCTGTTGCGGATGTGGATGCGTGAGCTGGGAAGCATGTCAAGTCTTTGCTGGGCAATTGCTTTCTTCAATATCACTGGAGAAGGGAGATCTAATATTCTACCATGTGTCCCCCGGAAGATTAAAGCTCTGAGTGAAGGGGCAGGCCTCCACTGGGAACTTTGCATATTGTAGTGGAAGTTATTTGAATATAGTCATTGAGAGAAGAGACTAGTCATTACCCACTTAGAATCCTTCCCGGCTGCAGCCTGGCGTTGTACGGAAGCCAAAGCAATTGGCTCTGCATTTGGCCAGCTGATTTAGCAAGAAATCTTGCAAATTATGCAGTCCTTACAGATGGTGCTGTTGGGTTTGCTAGAATGTTTTAAAACACTGACACACTTGACCATGAACTGAATTTCCAGCCTCTTAGAGCTACTTCCAGCCAATCTTAGACTGTCTCCACAGGCAGCTGGCGATCGGGAGCAGACCTTTCCCGCAACCTTATGATAAACGATTTCCTTTAGAAACCACTTGTATAATAAAATAACTTGGTGGTGGACTTGGCCAAGGGGAACTCCTGGCACTCTCTGGTATCTTTGCTTATCTCTGAGTCACATTTTAAAAAGCTTCCCAGTTGACCTTCTGGTTCTCTGCCTGGAGGTCGAGGAGGAGCCAGGACCTCTGGGAGCTCTGGTGTGCAGCGTAAATCCCTGAGGAGCCCCAGGGTCTAAGCCTGAATGTGTAGGGAGAACCGTGGGAGGGCGTGGCTTTCTCCAGGCAGAGGTTCCTAACTTGCCTCTTAGAAGCTATCAGAAAGTTCCAGGTACCATGTCGTATTCATAGGCCCTAGTCTTGCTCAGATCATTGCAGCAGCGACTGTCCTGATCTTTGCTAGTGACTACTTGCTGGCATCTGGGATTCTATCTGAATAGTCCCCTTTCATCCACCTCCCCCAGTGCCCTTTGGTGGTGCTTATTTTGGTTTTACGTAAGCAGCATGTCTGGACGCATGAATGAGGCAGATAAATCCCCCAGGGTCACTGAACTGCCCTTCGTCTATTTTTAGCATGCCATGAATCTACCAGAGCCCACAGCATAACTCACTCACTCTCACAGTGAGCAAGCCTGAGTTTTTTAGCCTTTCCCTGAGGCATTTGGTGGAGGCTAAGCTTAAAGGCACCTGATTCAATCATAGATTATTCAAGATATGTCATACTTAGGCTTCTGTAATCATCACATTGCCACTGTCAACCACACGTTCAGCTCTGGCTCCCAATTTTGTGTTGGAAGCTGCACAAAGTCTCCTGTGTCCTGTGTGTGTGTGGCTCCCGCAATGGAGAAACAGCCACAAGAAAGTATCTAGTACACTCTAAGGGACTGATGATGGGCAATTTGCTCTCTCAGTCAAGGAGTCTTTCTTAAGAGAACCCTTGGCTTGTAGCCTGAGCTGTTGACCTTTGTCTACCTTCCATCCGTTCCATCCCTAGGGACCCTCCATAAGATGAGGACAGTGTGTCTTATTTACCACCATAGTTTCACAAGCGGCCTTAAGCTTTTCCTAATAGATGAGTCAGAGGGAGGCATTCATTCATTTGTTGATTGACTGATTGATTCATTCAACAAACATTAATTGATGAACACCTATATTCTAGCTTGGAACCCTGGCATGGGGTTTCCTCAGCTTTTGATAGGAATATGTGCCTATCACCCACCATTTTGGCACAAGAGCTCCCCCATACCTCCTCTGCTTCTTGGGAGCGTCCTCCTCTAAGGTGTCTCGCTCTGTGCTCCTTGCCAGATTTGCTCATTTGCCTCTGCCGGGTCAACACTACTTCTGCCCGCAAAGTGGCTCCTCCAACTTCTGAATATCACTAGTTTCTATTAGTAATTGTTTTCATTCAGGGTCGAACTGGAGGTGAAGGAGATAGTTGTCCTATGATGTAACCTGTGATGGCTTTGTGACATATCCGCTTGGCCAGGCTGAACTACAGCCCAGAGGACTTCCTTTCTACCATGTTTCTGGCCACGTGGGCTATGAGTGAGATGCTCTTGCAAAAACTGGAGGATGGAAGGAAGCAGCAGCTGTTTTGTAGCATATACACACCTTCTCCAAGTTGTTCAACCAGCCACCAATCCAGGTGCCGCTGTGAAGGGATTTTGCAGATGTAGTTAAAAGTCCTAATCAGTCGACTTGAATCAAAAGGGAGACTATTCCAAGTGACTTAGTCAGTGGAAAGCTGGAGGGAGCTTTTAAAAAGAGGGTATAGACCCTGCCTGAGGTCAGAGAGTACAAGTCACCAGCAGAGCAGAAGGAGTTTAGAACCCCTTTCTACACCTGGGACAACGCTCTGTTGCTCCTGCTGCTCTGCTGCCCTGCCTCGCGGGTGAGAAGCAGCAGCAGACCTGTAACTGCTTTCCTTCGCAGCTGTTTCTTCCTTCGTTTCACTGACTCTTGGGCTAAGTGTGTGCATTCAGCTCCAGGACCAAGCCCTGGCTTCTGCAGACTACGTGCATCCACCAGCTCGTCCTTGTGGCCTCCCAGCCTGCTGGTCCTCTCCCCTTCGTGACTGCCTGCCCTGTGGAGGTCAGGTCTGCGTAGCCAGCTCTTGCAACCGTGTAGGACAATCCCGGGGAATAAATAAGTGGAGAGAGAGAAAAACCCTCCTACTGGTTTCTGCTTCTCTGGTTGAACCCTGACTGATACACACACTAAAGAGCAACTGTTTGCCCTTCAGGTCATGAAGTTGGGCATCAGCATTCATTCATTTGTCCACAACGGTGCCAGGGTTGGCAACACAGCAGCAAATGAGGCAGATGGGGACCCTGGCCTGGGAGAGCCCAACTTCTAGCAGGAAAGCAGATGTTAAACAGTATTTACAAGGATAACAAGGTTAGCACAGAGCGGTTAGAGGTGTCACTGGGAGACCCTCGCTGGTCCGAGGTCAGAGAAGGGAAGTGAGGGCCTGAGAGACAGTGAGAGAGCATGACCGAGAACGAGAGCAGTTTGAGCACTTCTTCAGAGAGTTGTTGGTTTTCACGGGGCAGAGGGATGAGGCTGGAGAGGTGGCCCACGGAGGGCCCTGCACGCCAACAGGACGGCGTCTGACTTCACCCCGAGGAGCAAACACTTTTATCTAAAAATCTCCCCGCTTTGGAGTGCTATGTTTCTTCTTTATTTTATGAGATCCCAATGGGTTCCTTTCGAGCCTGTAGGGATCCCGGGGTGTCGCCGTGTGTGCCCCCGCTCTGCTCTAGCTCTCTTCAGCGTTTTCCACAGTCCCCTTGTATAACCCAAGCTGCTCTTCTTACTGTGCTATTGTCACACTGGCTGCTGTTCTTCTGTTTTTAACCCCTTCTCCTGCCTTATGCTTTGAATTCTCACGGCACAGCTGTTGAGGGAAAAAGGAAGGAAACAAAACCTGAACTCTTCACACGAGTTTTCCTGACAATCCCCTCGTCTCATGTTGATTTTCTCTTCTATTAAGGCCATGGCAAAGGCTTCTGGAGGGCGGGCAGTTCACCTGGCCTCAGGATTCCCGCCCTTCTGTCACCACCTGGGTCGCGGGAGCTCAGCCCTTTCCAAGGCTGTTGACCCTCCACACCTCCCGAGCACCCTGACACTCTAAGGATTTTCCTAAGTAATTGAGCCACATGCCATCCTTCAAAAGTGGGGCAGTAAATACCATCAATCTCACGGCCTAGAGAGATGAGAAAGTGGAGAAGCCAGACGGCATGTGACAATACCAGTCACAGTCCGAGTGAGGCTGAGCAGAGGGAGCATCCATTCGCTTCTTGTCTTCCTTGCTTTTGCTCATTCTTCAGCATCCTCTGTTCAGGTCTACCCTGCAGCTGTCTGGGAAAGCAGCTAGGTGTCGAGGGGCGAGCCAAATTTTAAAGAGATTTGAGTTGAAAGTCTGGTCCCACCACAACCTGTTGCTTTATCTGTAAAATGGGGAGAATATTACCTGTCAAATGGCTCTTGCAAACCAACTAGTTCAGTGCCAGGAACGTAGATGGGGCTCAGTGAATTTTGGGTATTAAGCATTACGATCTTGAACAAAGTGGCTTTTCTAGAGGCACAGGGAGAGGATTTCACTCCACAGAGGTTTACTCAACAGTTGTCTTACCCTCTGTACCCATTTTTATACAAGGAGTAAGAAGCATCATTTGCTCTAAGAGCAGTACCTGATCTCTCAAGGTCCAAGTCAGGGGTGGTGACAGACGATCAGGTTCATGGCTGTGAGGACACTGGCAGAACTCGCCCAGACGCTGTGCAGTATAGACATACATCCAATCATCATGTTGTGCACCTTGCATACAACGTCATATGTCAATTCGAGCTCAATACAACTAGAAAAAAGAAGCTATCCTCGCTGTAAAATAATAGTGAATCGGAGTGAAAAGGTTTTGGAAGGACTGAGTGGTGATGGCTGCCCAACATCGTGAATGTAATTAATGCCACTGAATTGTACACTTAAAAATGGTTAAAATGGTAAATTTTATGTCTATTTTACCACAATAAAAAAACCCTGCAAAAACGTGAACTGGAGAGAGGCCTACTGGCTGTCTGACTCACTCCTCCCCTGCCAAATGTAGGCTAGCTCAGCAACAACGTGACCCACTTACGACCCGAGCCGTTCAGGGACTCTCGTTGCTAAATGACTCCAGAATGTGAGTCAGGAGGGTCCATATCTAAACTCCTCCTCTTACAGATGGGGGGTGGAGACCCTGAGAGTGTGACAGAGCACCCAGCCCCTGAGAACCAGGCCACTGCTCTGTGCTAGCCGTGCTGACTCTCGGGGCCTCTAGAGCAAGCCAGGCCTCTGGTGCACAGGCGAGGCCTCTGTCTTCCATCCTTTCTCCAGATGTCTGGTCCTTGTCTCTAAGGATCCAGGTGCTCAGAGTTCTCAAGTTGTATAAGCCAGGACGAGGGCCCTGGGCTTCAGTCCTGGACGGTCCTCTCACAGCTGAGCGAGTATGGGCAGTGAGTGATGTCTATGACCTATAGCTTCTTCCTGCTGTCTGAACTTCCTCACCAACCCACACACAGGCCATGCTCTTTCTCTTGTTAGGGCCTTTGTACATGCCGTTCGCTCTGCTGTGAACACCATTTTCCACTTTAATTCCTGTGCGTCCTCAGGTTTCAGGGCAAACACCACTTTATCCAGAAAGCTTTCCTGTCCTCCAGTCTGTGTCACCTCAGCCTGTTGTGTGATTTCTTAGTGACCTACACTTCTTTGTGACACTCATCACACTTGTAATGACTTGTATTATGACTGAGTTCCGTGCAGGGGGCAGGGTCGCGGTCTGTCCATTGTTTCTCAAGAGCTTAGCACAGGGTGTGGCACATTTGTGCACATTATAGACAAAAACATTAGAAATAAGAACATCAACCCTGTCTTCTCACGAGGGGAGAATGAAGGTGGCGCTCCACCTTGCCTGTATTAAAGGCAGGAGTTGTACAGGAAGTGGGGCAGACATTGCCCCCCGTTCACAGAGACAGGCCCAGGCACCAGTTGATATCGGAAGGAAACGTAAGACGCGCAGGTGGGGGAGCTGAGCTGACCGCCCACCCCTGCATTGCCCGGCAAGAGTAAACAGCAAATCAGCAGCGCCGGGGCGCACGTTAGACACAAGGAATGCTTTCTGGGACGATATTAAGGATTGTTAAAAATGGGTCGGATTATAGAGGAAGCCTTCCCTAGAGGCTTCCGGAACCAGGCCAGAGTCCCATTTCAGCTGGTTATTTTAGGCCTACCACAGGCAGCAGCCTAGACGAGACATCCTCTCAGGGTCCAATGGTTCCGTTCCTCTGACCCGTAATGAAGCTGTAGACACTGCTGTTGCCAACACACGTGCAAGCCCACGCAAACGGGAGAGGCTTCTCGCCAGTCCCGTGGCTGTAAATGCTGCTAGTTCCTTCTCTGCTGAACATTCTGAATTCACCTTTTGTTTGGGAAATGACCTCAGTCTGTAGGCACGGCAAAGCTCTTTCTGTGAAGAACTGGTTCCGTGTTTCAAAGTGAGGACTTCACTGCAAACCAGTTTAACTCTTATATTGCCACTCACCTGGAACAGGTGGGAATATGAACCAGGCCAGGGGATTAAAAGATAACCTGCTGCTCCAATTTCCAGGACACAAAGAAAGCAATCTGGACATGGCTGTGTGTCTTATCCAGGGACAGGGGACACATCTTGGTCTCAAAGTGATGGAAGGGAATGGTCTTGAATATGCAAATGAATCTAATTTAATTAACTTTTATGATCACAGCTCCTTTGAGATAACCATGGGAGCCAATTAGATTCCATTAAAATTCAATCATTTCCCTAAGCTTCAATGAGACACCCTTGTCTTCTCTAAGAAAAAACAAAAAGTGTGAAAAGATCTAATCAGAAACAACAAAGAAGAGTAAGTTGTCTGCTGTGGCTGCTGTGGTCTCAGCAGAAGCTGCTTACACTGTCATCTGCTCTAGTTTCTCATCCAGAGCCTGGCGCTGCAAGCTGCATTGTGAGGTCATTCTAGGTCAGTCGTGGCACTGCTGCCCACAACTGATCGTAAACGAGCTCTGAGAGGTAAAGGCGATATTTCATACTTTAGGGGCAAAAACTCGAGCCTCATGAGGGTGAGGGCGGAATGCCTGGACCTCAGGCCCGAGACGAAGAGATGCAGAGGGACTTGTGCCCCTGAGCCTTGGCTGCCCAATTTTATATTTTGTCCTTTTTCTTCCCCCTGAGTACAAACGTAACACATACTTATTGTGAAAAATGGAAGAACACAGAACAGCTAAAAGATGCTGTCCATATCTAGAAAGAGCTTGAGGGGCTCTCTCCTGCGGTTCTGTCGCCCTCTTTCCCCCGCGCTAAGCGAACTGTAGAGGACTTCGTGTGTCTGGGGAAGGATAGGAGGGGGTGGGGGGGGCATAATGAGTGGTTGGAGTGAGGGTGTCATATTCCAGATCCTCCCTTCCTTTTCAATCTGTGTCCCATGCCACTCCCCTCTCTTGTCTCTAACACTGTGCAATTACATAGCTGCCAATGGTTTTTGAATCCTGGCCCCTAAACCTTCTCCATGGTTAGAAAAATGTATGGTGGGTCCACCAATTGTTTGATCCGCCCTGAAAGAGCCTTGATACGGGTTCAGCAAAGTGTGCGATTGGGTTTCTGGGAGCTGTGTTGCCTGCCAGTTCTGGAAACATTTAATGTCATGTAATGACAATATCACAATTAATTTTAGCATGAACTTGGGAGATATTTCTACTTCTTCACATAGGCAAGCTATGTCTAAAACACATAGAAGCTCAGAGTAAGTCACAGTGCCCAGCATTATGCGATTATACAATTGTGCAGCCTATTACTCGAGAGGTAGAGTCAGAGTTGCTGTAGCAGGTTTATTAATTGAGCAGATTTGGGAACTCAGATTTTGTATTTCTCTTAGTTAGACTTTTAAAATAATAAAGTACTTACATTCCAACCAAATACACAATTATAAAATAATTAGAAAGAAAAACGATGATAATGTGGAAAACAGACACTTCTGTGGTTATAAGAGAAAGAAGAAATAAAGGTAATAAAAAACAATTAAAACTACCTCTTTTGTTTTTTCACCAATAGTTTCATCTGTCTTTGTTTTCAAGACCTTTAGCTTAACTGGGTCTCACAATTCTTTCCTCTGCGACCTTCTAGTGCAGGTTGAATCGTTTTGTGCCTGGGCTGCTATGATTTCAACAGCTAACGTCTACTGAACACCGCCACATGCCAGGCACTGCATGCTGAAGCACGTTCCAGCTTATTTTAACCCTTACATCAATATTCTGAAGTTGATTGTACCTAATAGGCATTCTTTTCTCTTCTTGTTTGCTAACAGAACCCAATTTTGCTTGGAGTGTCAATGTATCCAGCTAACAACTTTCCCCGCCTCCATCACTGCTAAGGTGGCTCTGTGATCCAGTTCTAGCCAATGAGATGTAAGCAGAAGTCTGCTGGGTGATTCTGGGAAGATTTCTTCTTTTTGATAAATTGGGACACACATAGCTAGAGAAAAGCTCTCAGCCTGCCCCCGCTTCTTTCTGCCTTAGATATAAATGTGGTGTCTGGAGCTGCCTTCAGTATAAATGTGATGAAACTGCAGCAGCCATGTTGGAAACACAAGGCAATGATCCAACAAGCTAAGGAAGGCAGAGTGAAAGGTAGAAAGAACCTGGGATGCTGAAGGCATCAGTGAATAGCTAAACCATTCCCAGCAACTGCCTAACGCTGTACTTCCAGTGATGCGAGAAAAAGAAACAATTTTTAAGCTATTGCTAGGTGGACATTCAGTTATTTGCAGCTGAACACTTTCCTAATCCCATTTTTCAGATAAGGAAAACTGAAAGGCTAAGTAACTTGCCAAGCTTATAGAATCTCTCAGAGGTGGTATAGGGATTTTAATTCACATATTCTGACTCGAGAACCTAGAGCTTACCCTCTTAGACATGATTCTATACCACATCCCCATTGTGCTAGGTTGCGAGGTCTACTCATGGACTTTTCAGGAAACTAGAGCTTCATCTTGAGCCTCCCTCTGACTTCTCTTCCCAGAGATGCTAGGGTGATATATCTAAAACCAGATCTAACCATCTCACTTTCCTGCTTGAAATCCTCAACAGTGTTTCTTCCCCTACAGCAGGGTTGTAACCTCAACTGTCTTTAGAGTCATATAGGTAACATAATTGGCAGAGGCAAGTCGATTATAAGAAAATCAATTGTGTTGGTGTTATCTACTGCTGTGTAGGAAACTGTGCCCAAACTTAGCAGCTGAAAACAACAAACTCTATTTCTTACACAATTTCTGGGGGTCATGAATCTGGGAACAGCTTGGCTGAGTGCTTCTGGCTCAGGTCTTTCATAAGTTGCAGTCAAGATGTTGATGGGGACTTCAGTCATCTGAATACTTGACTGGAGCTGGAGAACCCACTTGAAGAAGCCTGACTCACATGGCTGGCGGCTGAAAGCATCACATCCTCACCATATGTGCCTCTCCTCACAACATGCTAGCAGATTTCCTCCAGAGCAAGTGGTCCAAAAGAGGCAGAGTCACAGTGTCTTATGACCCAGCCTTTTATGTCCCAGACATATCATCACTTCTGTCCTATTCTTTTGGTCCCACATATCAAATCTGATACAGTGTGGGAGGGGACTACACAAGGGTGTGGACACCAGGAAGCAAGGATCACTGGGGCTCATCTTGGAGGCTGATGACCCTCAGGTAGCTATGGGACAAAAAAGTGATTTTTACTTTGTAGTGTCAGCCAATCGTTGCTGTGGTGGGACACGGGTCCTGTGTTGCTGGATGTTTCCATTTCCCAAATAGAGCCAGAAATATGGATTTCTAAGTTAAATCTCAAGATAGTAAATTTTGGCTCAGAATTTTAAAAAATCCTGTGTGGGCCAAACAAAATACAAATGCAATCCAGATATATCCTGTGAGCTGCCAGTTTGCAACCTCTTTGGCCCACAGCACGGAAGGCAGATGTAGGTCTAAATCCAGTCCACGTGGCTGGCTAGAGTGACGCTTCCAGGAGGATTCTGAAGACGAGTCCAGGCTTCACCAGGGATGTGTGCCATGATAATTCAGTTGTGTCTGCTATGGATGAAGGTGGGGAGAGTGATGACATGTGTGTCTCAGATTGACACACATGGCCATATAATTTATTGCTCAAACTAAGATGCTTTTGAGAGTAAAAGAGGGTGCTGTAATAATTACACTAACGTGGTGACCATACACTGGGACTGGCTCAGGCAAACCAAGATGTACAGTCACCCCTCTCATAGCCTTTCACGAAGTCTCTCCAGTGTTCTCTCTCATTCTCCATCTCTATTCAGTGGGGCCACCCCAGAGGCTCCCTGTTCTCAGAGCACATGCGCATTTCTGACCCTGCTGCCTGCACTCCTGCTGGGCCCTGATTGTCCTGTTTTCTCCTGATCCCTACTCCCCTGTTTCCTCTTGGACTTCAACTTCTTCAAGTCCTAGCAAAACTGTTGTTACCAAACCCATGTTTGTTTCTGCTCACTGCCCGGAGAGCTAAACACTGAGACAACGGGATGGCAGCAGAGAGAGAGTTTAATCACAAGGCAGCCATGCGAGGAAGCAAGAGCATGAGTCTCAAATCCTCTTCCCTGAAAATAGAGACTCAGGGATATTTATGGGATGGAGGGCAAGGTGGTCTGAAACGTGGAGATAGGTGATTGGAGGTGAGGAGAGGTGAAATAATTGATGATCTGTGCAAGCGTAGTCAGACTCCATGCCTCTTCATAGGACCCATATTCACAAAATGGTGGCATGAGCATGATCTGAGGGTGGGGTTTTTAGACTCTTGATGTCAAAAGGTCACTTATTGGACATCTGCATGGGGCCAGTTGATGAGTTGGTGGTCTCAACTGGCCTGAAGTGGACAAGGAGTTCTAATTCCTGAAAAACAGTGCAAACACTCCTTACCATGGTGACCCAGTTTCCAAGGAGATGTTATCTATAGGAGCCTAGTGGGAGTCAGATAGCATATTGCTTAAGCAGCATGGTTAACAATGGGTGGGGGAACAACTCATAGCTATAATCAGTAATTGCAAAAAGGAAAAAAAACTTTAGTTCCTAGCTACTTCATCATCAATGGCTAACTGTTTGCCAGTTTCAGCCCCTCTATGTTTGGTCATTCCTCATTCTTGAGGGATTTGGGGTGACGACTGACCTAGCTACTTCCTGCTGAATTGGGATGTAGATCTGGGTTAGAGGAATGAAACTATTTAGCACTCATTTGGAAATATTCTCTTGTTCCTGGCTCCAGGTTGACATTTTTGTATTATTAAAATTTCATACCTTACTCAACAGTTTTGGAACAACATCTAAAGGCACGTTTTATAATTAAGTATCCAACCAGAAGGATAAGAAGTATAGACATCCCAAATTTTAACAATCCCTGAGAATAGATCTAATCCCAGTGGGGCCTCCATCTCATCTCCAGGTGAGGCAGACATCTGGTCTTAGTTCCTAATAGTCTTCTGTTCCACTGGCTGTGCATCAGAGACCAGAGCAATGCCCTACACCCTGATCTTTCAGTTGTCATTGATGATGTCTATCAGCATAGACTCTCTTTCTGGGGGTCATCACATTCCTAAGGAACTCAAAAGAACAAAGTTATCAACTTATAGCAGCTGGGAGGGGCCATAAAATCTACAGAGCATGTCTGGGTTAGTTAATCAGAGGTCATTCAAAGTTACAATATGGTTTCTTTTCTACAATATGTCTTCCCTTATGTCAACATTTTATTGAGCCAGTATCACTGTCTTGTTTTTTCATTCTGTTGCTTTCACTTCCTCCCCTCCATTCCAGGTTAATCGCTCCTTCAACAGGGTTTTGTAGCACTTTATACATATCTTTAATGCAGTATTTTTCACAGCAACCCACACAAGGGGTCATCTATTCCTCATTTAGGCCTCTCATGCCCATCTTAGTGTCTGGTACAAAGTAGGTGGTTAATAATCATTTATTGAAATTTTATGTTGAATCTCACTTCTGCTCTTTTTCTTTAACACCCTCTGCGGGAGATGATAATGAAAGGTACAAATGCCAAGTAGGCAACAAGAGGGAGTAGTATAGGAACAGAGAAAATCCACCAAAGGGATAACTGCTTCCTGAATTACTGACCATTAACCTAAATAGTGTTCACAGTAATTTCAAATTCTTCTCTTCCTTTTCACTTCCCAGGGAACACAAGCTGTTTTCATTGAGAAAGAGCTTCTATGTTCACTGTAAGAATAAGTCCTGTGGTCATTACTGCAGAGACCACGAGTCCTTGGGTACGTATGTGCTTTATAAAAGCTGTCTCTCACAAGGTCATGACTAAGCAGAGAAAATAAGTCCCAGGCACACACCGGACATGTAGGAGGATTTATCCTCTTGTGTACACATCTAACAGCCACTAATACTCATGTGCATTGTCTATAAACTTTGGGGGAAAAATAGAAGCTGATGGAGAGCAATGCTCTCTATAAATTCTCATGAATGAGATCAAACGACAGGGTGCTAAAGGAGTAGTCCTGTGGGACTGAGATGTGTTTTCACTGGAGAGGGGTAGAGTTAATGGTAGAACACGATCAAATCTAATAAATTGTTATTAATTTTAATCCTAAAGTCTGAGATGGGGGACAGCCAAGGATAATCACGTGGTACCTTTTCTTTGGTGGGCTTTCATCTGGTCTCCTTCTAAGTTAGAAGACCTAGAAATGGGGACCCTGTGCTGGCTCTGTCCTTGGCAGTGTGATTTGCGGTCCTAACTTCTCTCTGAACTGTCTTCCTGTGTTAGATGGGGCCACTCCTAACACTTATTTCACAAGGTCAAATGGAGCAGGCATGTGAAAGGACTTTGTAGACTGGAGTGAAGTCTACGAAAGGTAGTTGGGACTATTATTCAGCTAATTGGCAGGAGTGGTGATGAAAACCATACCTAAGCCGCCCCTAGGCCTCCTGGGGCTGAAACCTTGGTTTATCCTTTGAAGCAAGGATACTAATACTACCCAAAAAAGCATGAATGCTTAAATTAGTCTGGGACAGGTTGGGTTTGCTGGAGAGGGTTGGTCCCAACCTCACAGGCTTTAAGCCTGAGGATGGCAGTCGGTTTGTTCTTTTATCACCCACCTTGGAAAGGGCGAGTCTAAATCTGAACACTCCTTCCTGTGTTTAAGCCATTTCTGCCGAGTCCCATAGCACTGATTACAGTTCTCACACTCCGCACCTGGCTGTTTCATTCTTGGCTCACCTCTAGACTCTAATATCCTGCAGAAAACACTGAGGCTTTCACAGTTGCCCATCTCTTAACCTTGTGCCTTGCTGCGCCCCATGTAAAAGCCAGGACTCAGCGTCTTTCCCGCCTCATTGTCCTGAACCTCTCTGGGAGCAAACACCTTGGCTCCCTTCAGATCTTCCAAAGAGAGGTTGACGGAGCTCCTCCGCAGTCCTGCGACCTTGGGTGGCTCCTTCAACTCCGCAAAGAGGGACAGTAAGAGCCAACGTGGGGGCCGTGTGAGCATGAGCCGTGATGGAAGGATGAGCACCTGGGACACACAATTGTCCAGGAAACAGAAGTGCTGTCGTCGGTTTTGATAAAATAACAGTAAAGGCCTTCAGAACAAGACGACCTTTGAAATGAGTCCGGAAAGATTAATTTGTACTTCAAGGTCAAGAGGCTGTCTGCCAACATTTGCCACGTGCTGAGTTAGAAGAAAAGCCTGTCCTAGAGGGAGGGACAAATGCCCGCACACAAAACCCTAAATAAGACCGTAGTAGATGGCGCCGCGTCAGTACAACGGAGCCCTAAAACAAGCTGGTCCTCCATGGACTGAGCCCTCCCATGGGGACTTTTGTTTTAGTTGAGTAGCTATCTGAGCATCACTCTTTAGTATACTGAAAACCTCAGTACTTGACATCGTATCAAGACCATGAGTGTGACGAGATTGCCTCAGAATAACCAGCATCCTGTGAGCCAGCTGGTCTTAGACCAGGAGACTGCAAACAAAGTCAGGGTCTCTTTAGGGCGGGCCAGTACATACCGCCCTGTCACTCACCGGGGCTAGACTCTATTCTCGGAGTTTCATTTCTTAGTTAAAGACCTTGATATCTATTAAAATGGTGATATCCTTGCTGTCATCAATCACTGACACATTTGTATGCGTGCGTCTGGGTCCTGTTTGAAGACAAAGGCTTCCTGGGGGAGAATGCTCAGAGAGGAGCTGCTGGAGGACAGGGGCCCCGCGGGGAAGGAGAGAGCCGTGTCTGGAGGCTGGGAGACGGATGCGGAGCCTGCTAAGACTCTCCCGTCCAGAGAAGCGATGGGGCCGTCTTTGTCCTCAGTGCGGCTTTATCTTCTGAGTCCCTCCTCCTGCGTGCTGGCACTGGTTACATTGGGAGAGATGGAGCACAGATTTTTCCCTTGTTCTTCTATTTGTTCTTGGAGCCAGGAGAACAAGGAGGGAGGCCTCTCTTTGTTAGGAAAGTGGGGAGAACCTATACTTCTGGCTCATTTGTAATCCTTGCATTTTGATGTTGTAAACTGTCTCCAGGGCTTTTAAAATACTGAAAAAAAACAATGAAAAAGTAAGAAAGAACTTTTGGGGCCAGCCCCGTGGCATAGTGGTTAAGCTCATTGTGCTCTGCTTCTGTGGCCTGGCCTCACAGGTTTAGCTCCTGGGCGCAGACCTCCACCACTCATCAGCCATGCTGTGGCAGTGACGCACATACAAAGTGGAGGAAGACTGACACAGATGTTAGCTCAGGGCTAATTTTCCTCAGCAAAAAAAGAAAAAAAAAGTAATAAAGAACTTTTAATAGCCTAAGGTGGATATTATAGTTCTTCTAGTGGGAAAATTATGATGTAATGTTCAATCGTTCTTCTTCATGAAGACTTTTTTTTTGATGAAGCAGGAACTAACAAAGACTGAGTCAAGAAAAAAAGTCATTGTTGAATAATATACGATATTGAGGTTTCATGGGCTGTTGTGAATGGTTCAAAGAACTACAGATAAACTGATATGAAAACTGAAAGTAGATTTACTATGAAGTTTTATTAATGACAGTCTGAGATTACCTTTTGTATTTGCTCACTGGTGTATTGTTGGTCTTCCCACTACAATGGAAACCCTGCACGTGGCGGGGGGCACGGGCCATTTCTCTGTTTCCACTGTGTCTCCTGCTACCTTGCCCAGCCATTGGCATATTTGTGGAATGACAAGTTTCTGACCCAGCCTCATCCACTGGCTCAAAATTACTCTTTTCCTAAATTCACTTTATTATAAGCACTAAAATGAGGAATCTGAAGATGGTTTAAACAAAACAAAAGAAAACTCAATCCTGACCTAAAATCATTTATGATAAACACAAAAATATTCTTCAAAAGACACAAGTTAGTATGGCTCTATATTTTTAACATCTGTCATTTTAAACAAATTATTCAGCATTGTAAGATCACTTATAAACGACGTCAGTCAGGCAGCGCTGCAGGCTGAGTCTTGAAGGATATTTTTGGAGGCCAGATTGGGAAAGCTCCACCTCTCATATGGCCCAGAAAGGACTGAAGCAATCTGGGCTCTCACCAGCTCCCTCTCTTCTGCCCGGAGGTAAGATTTGGTTAAGCTGCACATTATTTGTGCTGCCCCCTCCAACACTGCTGGACATGGCAGAGGTAAGAGCTTGAACAGGAGCAGGGATGGAAGGGCCCCGCCCCCCAGCATTAGAGGAGTGAAATTAATGGCAATGAATCAAAGACCTCTGTGCTGACTGCCGAAGACTCGCCTTTATGTAGAAATCCTGGGGGCCTTTACATATTGAAATGAATCATTGTCGCCTGGCCTCTGTCACTTTTACTCTTCATTTGCTTGATGTATTTCATCTAAATTTGGAGGTATTAAGGATCACTGTTTCATCTCTTGTATTTATTGTCACACATTTATACTTTGGTTTTCCTGCAAACCTATAAAAATATGCTATTTAAAGACGTTAAAGGATGAGTAGCATCGGGCATTGCCAAAGCGTTTGATTCTACAGAAGCCTCTTAAAGTTTAGTAAGACAAAAGATTTGCTTTTTAAAAATTTTTAATTTTTTGTTTTTGTTGAGGAAGATTCACCCTGAGCTAACATCCTTGCCAATCTTCCTCTATTTTGTGTGTGGGTCGCTGCCACAGCATGGCCACTGCTGAGTGGTGTAGGTCCATGCCTGGGAACTGAACCTGGGCCAATGAAGCAGAGCACGCCAAACTTAACCACTAGGCCTGCATTTTTTTTAATCTCTAGATTAGGGTGACCAGCTTGTTCTGGTTTTCCAAGGTCTTTCCCGGTTTTAAAACGAACGGAATGTCCTGCATCCCAAGGACTCTTTCAGTCTTGGGCAAATGGAGAAGGTTGGTCCCCCATCCCTGGCCATGTTGTTGAGTGAACCTAGTCAGGATTTCTTGAAACTGGAGCATGCAATTGATTTGGAGTCCAGCGCTGCACTTTAAAGGATAATAAATCTCCACTGTGGCAAAGAACATAAGTCACTAGGCAATAGAAGCATACATGTCTTAAGGAATTGCCTTGTGCCTAGTTCTTTGAAGTGCTACCCTTTGGAACCACTCTGGGATTTAGACATTTGTGCCTCACTCTTTCTTGGTCCCGAGAACACGGGGTCAAGTTTTTCAGAAGCATTTGAAGTTGTTTAGAGAACTGTGAAGAATTTCACCAGGCTAAACAAATTATCCACAGGGTGAAGATCAATTGCAAAGGGGCTGGTGATGGCAGTGTCCTTATCAGAGGCAGCAGGATGCCTTTGACAGAATGCGTCTTTGCTACCAAACAATCTTCTATGAGAACCAGCTTTTCCCTCCATGCAAACGGGATTGATCTGTGTGTTGGAAAATGTTCCTGTCATTCCACTGCTGGGCTGGGATGTGAATGTTGAAGGAGGAAAGTGCTGGAAGCCATGATCGTCAGGGATTAAGGACATTGTGTCCATGGTTTGAGCAACCCTCTCCTGTACTGTACATGTTAATTCCTTGAACTTCTGAACTTGTCAGTCTGCTTTTCCAATCCCTTTTTTATGATTGACACCTAAGTGATTCCTGGAGAGTGGAGGTAGTGTGACAGAGCAGAAGGAGCAAGGGTTTAGTGTCAGATAGACTGGGTTTACAGCCCATCTCTGCCCAGTACTAACTATGAAATGTAGGCAAGTCTCTTGACTTCTTTGAGCCTCAGTTTATCATCTATGAAATAGGTACAATGATTCTTCTCATGATTGTCACAAGGACTAAACAGGATGACATGTGAAAGTGCTCAGTAGATACTGAAATTGTACTAAAAAGGACAAACAACTCACATACTGTGATGATATGTCGACTATCTCTGGGCACCTACATGTCAAAGCTGGTCTTAAAAGGCTGCTGGTTTGGTAAGTGTTGGTGGAGAAAGCACTTTAAACCAGGAGTCAGAGAGTATAGCATCTACCCCCGGCTCCACCCTTAACCACTCTTGGGCGTTCGTTTCCACTGAACTCAAGTGAGAAAATCGTGTGAAATGATTCCTGGAACCTATCATACTTCTAAAATTCCATGAATCGGTAAAGTCTGCAATATGTGAGTCTGAGGTGTGTCTGTATTCTACAGCAACTACAGTACCATGTATCACATTATATTCTACAGAAGACACCATCCTACATCCTTGACTTCTGCCTCAGGAAGGGTGGTTTCTTGCAGCCCTACATACCATTCAACATGAACTGTGTGACCTTTCCCCACTCTGCAGCCATAGCTGTTGGGACTAGGTGTGGAAACCTATCGCATAGTGGACCTGTTAGATTCTCCTGATGGGCATTTGGGATTAGAATATGGAAAGTCTAGTTAATAGTCAGTGATGCTGGACCTGGAAGGTCACCATGTAGGTCTTAGGAGGCTGAGGGTACCATTTTGTGGAAGCTGTGACGGATCATGTGAAAACGGGGAAGGAAGGAAATATGGGGGGGGGGAAGGGGAAGAGGAGGGATGGGGGATGGGCAGGGGAGGGGAAGGGGGAGGAAAAGATGGAGAAAGTAACTTCTTTGGTCATTTTCTGTTCCAATCACCTACAGGCCTTGCTCTTCTTTCTACATTTGAGTTCTGTGAAAGTTCCCTGTATTCTGTTTTACCTAAAGCAGATTTGAGTGGCTTTTCTGTTTTTTGTGTCCAGCCCTAAGACATATGGTAACATAGACTGGGCATTGGTGGTGCAGGCTGGGAATTCTCCGACGGCAGGATTTTGTCTTGCTGCTTTTGGAACAAGCATTTGGCCCAGCACTCTGCACAAAGTCGGTGCTCAGTGAACTCATACTGAAATACCATGAAAATAATATGTTTGTATATGAAGAGTGTCATCGATGGCATTTATATAAAAAAGGTTGATTATAGTGGATGATTATGTTTCAGGAAGCGTTTCCCGGATCCTCCCAATTGGCCAAGAAGCATGATTGAGTGCTGTCTTCACTGTGTCTCCAGGACCTGTTGAGGATCCAGCTCACTGTAGGCTTTATTTTAAAACGTCTGTTGAGCTGAATGGCCCAGGATTACTTTACATACTGTGGAGATATAAAAAGAGATATAATTTATAGTTGCTCTACATAAGCAGCTTGCAGTGTAGTTAGGAAGATACAATGAAAAAAATAAACCACAATCAACCAAATGTGATTTGCAATGGATTTCAAATAGCTGGGAGAACGGAGGGTCAGCAAGGTTAAATATGCTTAGAGGGGTTTTGTGGCAGAGCAGGGGGTTGAGTCGCTGCTGGAGAGCTGGGTGAGGGGAGGAGGTGGAAGGCTCAGCAGAGGCAAGGGGCTGTCCTGAGAGTTTTGCAGTATACACACTTACAATTTACTGCTTCACGTTGGGAAATGTGAGACAGAACGTCCAAGTATGAGAGGCAATAGGGCGTTATGGCTAACAATGCCGACTCTGGGGTTCGACTTTCTGGATCAAATCCCAGTTACACACCTCGCTCCCCCCGTTACCGGTTTTGTGATGTTGGGCAATTTACTCAACCTTCTGTGCCTCAGTTTCCTCATCTGTAAAACTGGGGGTGCTAATAGCATCCATTATGTAGGGGTATTGTGAGGATTAAAGGGGATACTGTTGCAAAGTTCCTAACGAATGTCTGGCACTTAGAGAGCCCTCGGTCAATGCAAGCTGTTATGATCTGTAGTGGTGAGACTCAGTTAAGAGAACTACCCCATTAATGTTGAACTGCCACAGCGAACAGCGAATCTCTTGGTCATTAAGGAGGGCAGTTACCGTTTGTGGAGCACTGGTAGGACTGGTTTACGGTAGGAAGAGCATCGAATGTCTAGGACCCCCTGGAAGGTCTTGAGAGCCAGGGAGGAGCTGGACTGGGTGCATACCTGCTGGGCTCAGTTGTTTTCTCCTGAGCAGGGATGTGATGAGAGTGAGAAGGAGAGACAGGGGTAGGAGGTCCAGCAAGGAGCCGGGAGGGGGCTAGTGCCATAATTCAGGTGTTAGGTGACACAGGCCAGGGCCAGGGCTGTGGCTGTGAGATGGAAGTGTGGCGGAAACTATGAGAGACTCAGAGGAAGGTGTGCCCTTCTCATCACCTCTGCTGCCCCCGCCTTGGTCCAGGCCCATGTCCCCTCCTGCGAAGATTATTGCAACCTCGTCCAGACCACTCTGCTCTGCCCTTGCCTCCTGCAGTGCTGTCTCTGCAAAGCCACTCCTTTGTGTGACTGTCCAAAGCTCCTGCTTCCCTTGAGGACGAGCTGGACTCCTCCCTGGGACCTGTGGGGCTGCACCGCCGGGCTCCTTCCTCTGCTCCGTGCCTGCCTGTCCTCTCCATTCCAAGAGCTGTCGTCCTTGCTGTTCCTCAGACACTGCAGACCTGCTCCTGCCACAGGGGCCTGCCTGTGCTCTTCTTCCCCTGAGCACCTGCAGAGCAAATCCCTCCACCTCCTTTCGGTCTAAACTCAAATGTCACCTTGTTAGCGACATCTTCCTTGACCACCCTTCTCCATCTTGGTCTGCCCCGTCCCCTGTGCCTGCTTGGCTTTTCCTTGCCTTGTCCCCACCTGACCTGCTTTCTTCTTTACTGTTACATTGTCTAGTTTCCCCACCAGGGCGTTGGCTCTATGAGGCAGGTATTTTTGACCGTGTTGCTCGCTGATGCCTCCCGGGACCTAGAACAGTGAGGGCAGGAAGTGGGTGCTCAATAGAGACGTACTGAATGGCTGGCTGGATGAATGCAGTCAGACGGCCGTGTCAGGCACAGCACTCGGGGCCCCTCAGGAGCGTGGGATTGAGACCCTTGTGGGAGTGAAAGTGGGCACCATTACTAAGTAAGATGGAAGGACGGGCATCAGTGGGGACTGTGCCAGCAAAGGGGATGCGTGGTCACCCTGGAACTAGGAGAGTCAGCAAGAGGTCATGGCTGGAGATTTGGGTGTCTCTTGCCAAGAGGGGCACAGGGAAGCCGCAAGGATGGGGTGTCTCGTCATTGGCTGAGGGAAGGCGAGAACGTCAAGGCCAGCTTCAGGAGCCTCCCATAGGCGGAGCAGGAGGAGAAAGAGGGGTCTGTGAGAGACTGAGAAGACCCGGACAGGAGAAGAGGCGCCAGGGTCCAGAGGCGCGGTCCCAGGAAGGAAGGGAAGCGGTGGGGCCTCCGGGCAGGGTGGCTACAAAGTAGGTCAGCTGGGACTCGGCAAGAAAAATGAGTCAGATGAGAGACTCAGTGGCTTTTTGATTTTGTAACAAAATCTTCATCTATCTCAACAAAGTGCTAAAAGGCATTTAATTAAAGTCAATTAAAATTAATTTTCATTTGAGAGCGTTTTTCTGTTCCTGCCCTCATTATATTTTGAGGCACTTTGGGTGCTTTCAAAGACCGGCTCAGGAGGAGGGTTTGGTGCTCCAGCCTGAAGGTTCTCGTGCCTCTGCCGGGCCTGAGTCACTCAAAGGTCCTATATTTAGAGTGTCATTGACACAGAAAAAATCTGGGCCCCAATCGGAAGACTCAAAAGCAAAAGGGGAGACTTTTGTGATTTCTTTGGGGTCAGGAAGATTGAACATTGAGTTTCTGGGCTAGTACAGATAATATTGCCTGAAATTTGATTTTTCTTGGTAAACTGGAAATTTTGATGACTTAATTATCAGTTTAAACAGCTGATTTCCTCTCTGGCTTCTTACTTCCATGAGAGGAGGGTGTGTGTGTGTGCGGGGGGAAGCCAGCAAACAAACAAAACTCTCGTTCAAAACACATTGAAGTGATGGTGTTGACAAAGATGCTGAGGTGTACGGAACAATAAAGCTGTGGGTCAGCCGGTGGTCTGTCACATAATGGTGAGAAGTGAGCTAGGTCACCAATCATAACACTTTTGTCTATGCAGACATGTTAGTCCACTTGGCTCCAGCCACAAGGGTCCTTTCCAGGTAGAGAATGTGCGAAGAGCACACGGGTCAGAGTTCTCAGTTTATTAGACAGGAAAGCCACAGGGCTGGGGTCCTGGAGACAGAATCTGTACCCCGCATTCTCTGACGGCGAGTGTGAACAGTCGAGCTGGGTGGCAGCGTCGGACACGGCCCATGCAGCAGGCCCTCCCCGTCACTTCTTTTTGTCACAGCCAAAGTGCTACTGGGCTGAAATCGCCGTGGCACGTAACTCCCGGAAACTGAAGGAATAAAATCTCGAGGACTTCAAAAGGGACAAAATCATGAACGCTGAGCCAGAGCCCACTGGCATGGCTCACAGAAGTCCTCGAGGCAGAGGGCTCCTCCGAGAGGTGACAGTGTGGCTCTTGGCTACCCCTGCACGGGCGCTGGTGCTCACAGAGCAGTAGGCTGGGAGCTGATTTTGAGGCCACATCTGATGAACGTGTGTGGCCGAGGCTGACCTTGGGCAGAAGGAGGAAGCACGAGTTTGCTCTGGCCCACCACACCCTCCGCCCGTCTTCACCCCAGCCCTGAACGCTTCACAGAAGGTTTCACTTTCAAAATGATCACTTATTAGAGGCATGTGGTGCGGCCTCTGTCGTGTTCAGTACCCCTCCTTTTCCGTTTTATCACCTTCTTGCCTCCTCTCCTCTGGTTACCACCTGTTTTATTTCCACGGCTTTCCTTTTTCCTTCTCTTTGACTATTCTCCTTTTCCTCTCCTGAGATATGAAACAGGGAGGGAGCGGGGTAAGAAGACAGAGAATGCATCTGTTACCTGTGCGGTGTACATCTGTAAAGTCTGTGGTGCCCAGGTTTGCGTTGTTGCCGTTTGTCTTCGTCCTGCAGGGTTGTCGGGACAACAGATGTGGATATTTAGTTATTTTTATATAGTTATAAATAGTTAGTTTTATATAGTTGTATATAGTTTTATATAGTTATAAATAGTTATATTTAGATATTTAGACATGTCCCATGTCTGGCAGACAGTAAGGTCTCAATAAATACGTACCAGTTGTTAGTATTTAAAAGTTTACCCGTGGAATAAATATCTCTAGGTCTAGGGCATTCCATTTGAGTGGACATTTCTTTAATTCTCTTAAAAGTTCATTTTCCTGAGATTCTTTAAGTAATTATATGCGTGTGCATGCAGACACACACACACACACGCACACGCACACGCACACGCACACTTTCTTTCCCTGTTTTAAAGAAGTTGCACAATGCAGAGAAAAGCCAGTGCTTCCCCTTGGTCTGGTAAAAAGGCTTCCAACAGTGTTTGACTGGCCTGCCTGCCCTTGCATACGTCCCTACCAACCCAAACCACCTTCTCAGTGGACGCGCCCTGGCCTCACTACTTGCACAGCTGTGTTCTATTGTCTTTTGTAGAACAAGTGTGGGTTGTCAGGGACTGAATCGATTTCATGACCCATGGTGGGCTGTCACCTGCATCAGAGAAGTTGTGGTCTGCAGACATGGGGGCTTTGCTGGACTTCCCCCAGCTCTGTCCTCACCCTGGGCGCACCACGCATCCTGACTGTCCAGTCTGGTCATATTCCCAATTCTTCCTGTTCTGCCTTTTTGTCTTCCAAGTTAAGAAATAGCAAATTAGAAATGCCTATTCTATCTTTTCTTCCCCGTATCTCCCTTTGTTTTTCTCTCCCTCCCATGTCCCTTTCACTCCCTAGAAGAAATGGTCATTCTTAACTCACTGAATAATACTAACAATGGTAATGACAGTGCTAGCAGCAGTCATAACAACAAGGACAGCGGACATTCATTTCACACCCACTTTGTGCCAGATGCCTGTGTGAGTGCTTCACAAATGGTAACGGCTTCTTGCTCACAGCCCCCTGCACAGCAGACCGGCCCACCATCACTCTGGAGGAAGCACTACCTGCTCTTTTCTTCCGACACCGAGTCAGAAGCAGGAAGACTCAAATATTATAGAATCTGGGCTAAATACTTAAATGATGACGATGGTATGGGATAAACAATCTGTTTCATAAATCCTGATCTGGAAACAATAGCTGAACTCAGCGACTACAAACCTTCAGTCAGTAGACCTGAGGCTTGGTGTGTCTCTGCGCCCAGGCTGGAATCACCCTTGATACATGGCAAATGTTAGAAGGAAAACATACTATAAGAATTTGGTCTTGTGTAAACATCCACCCAGAGAAAATTCCTGTAGTATGTGTTATTTGGTTATTATTTTAGTGCTCTATTTAGTAATTCATTGTAAAAAATTTAACAATTAACATTAACTTCTCACCGATTATAAAAGTAATAGCATGTTCACTGTTAAAATTCTGGAACATGCAGGCAAACAAAAATGGAGATAGAAGCGCCCCCAAATCCCACCCTCGAAGACCACAGCTGTGTACCTTCGGATGTCTTGTGAACGTGTCAGGCCTTCAGACATGTTTGGTTTGGCCTACACCTTGTTTTTAAATGTTTTTCATATAAAAACCTAGATTTCCAGCATCTCCTGATAAAATATCAACATTCCACAACACCGGGCCCACGTTCTTGTGGGCGCAGCTGGCGGGAGCTGCGAAGCCCTGACCCCCGGGCGGGGCGGGGGGACACCTTTCATCTCCCAGCCCTGCACCCTGTTATCCTTACCTTCCGTCAGCTTCATGCTCTTGCCCTTCTCACGCTCTGTGGGGCATTGGGGTTTTCTCTCTTTTAGTTGGAGAACAATTCTTCCCCAACCCTTCAGGTCCAAAGCTGTACCTTTTGTGAGGGTGGGGGTGGCGGTGATAAAATCTGGGGGTCGCTCTGGTCTCTCCCTGGAGCAGGTGGGGGAGCCGAGGTCTTTCACTGCCAGCCTCTGCTCTTTGTATCCTGGGACATCTGAAATTCACACAAGCTCTACATCTAGACGGTTAATTTCCTTCAACACCTCCCAGATCTGTTCTGCATGTTCTTTGCACAACTTTGGCCATATTCCTATGAACAAAGAAAACTGACTTTACTATGCTTTGCTGTCACACGTTGCTTAACAGTGAAGAGAGCTAGATGAGGCCCAGGTCACTTCCCTTTCAATCCTTGGTTCCCTTTAGGCTGGGTCTTTGCATTGACTCAAGCACAGTGACTTATGAACATTTCCCCGTGCCATTAAAATTATTTATGAAAATGAATTTTAGTGCCCGGACAATGTTCCATTATATGGGTATATCACATTTCCTGACCTTCTTTTCTAATGGGTGAGGACTCAGGGAGAGGCTGGTCCAGGGGGAAGACGTGTCCATCATGGGGAAGAGAGGAGGCAGGAGGCGGTGGGGACAGGGAACCAATAAAGAGGTTCTAGAATTGGTCACTTTAAGAGGCAGAAATCTAAGAGGAAGAGACAGTCCAAAAACTAAAGTTCCAAAATCAGTAGGTTAGAGGATAAGTTGGGGCCAAGACACCCGTCACAAACCTGCTGGCAGGTCAGGGAGCAGAAGAGCAAGGATGAGGAAGCCAGTGGATGGGAAAGTGAACCCAGAGTAACCTTGGAGCAGGGGTGCAGTTATGACTTGCATTGTTTTGTTTTTCTTTTTTAGTGAGATTCCCATCCCTGCTAGGTCAATTTAAGAGAGCTGATGCAGGGTCAACAATAATTTATCCATTCTCCTAAAGTTGAATATTTAGGAGTTTCCAATTTTCTACTTTTATAAATAACATTGTGAGGAAAATCTCAGTGCCTAAAACTGTACATTTTGGGTTATCACTTCAACATAGATTTGTGAAAATGGAAGTACGTATTCTTTTTAAGAATATTGGGATATGCTGGTGAAATGTTTTCGTAAGGGTTGTTGGCATTTATACCCCAGCAGCAGTGTTTCATGTTCTGTGTTGGCCCATTTAAATTAACTTAGATCACACACAAATCTGCGAGTGAAGAGCTGTCACGGGCATCTGTACTCCATATCTGGAATTTTTCTAGGCCCCTGGCTTTCAAATGTTTTTTGACTGTGATCTGCTCTCTGAGGTCGACAGGCAGAAATTCCATGCAGGCAAAGACTTGAGTCTCAGGGTCCCACAAGGTGCAGAGTCTAATGACGGATGGAATCAGGAGAAGGAGATGAGAGCCTGTGTCACAGGATTTGATAAATGGGAGCGAGGGGCTACCCAGCCGCACAACTAGGGAACGAATTTTGTCTCCGGGCAGAACCTTCCAGACTAGGGGCTAAGGTTGGTTGGATGTCCAGTCCTGGATGATGGCTTTTGTTCCGGCAACAGCTAGGTCTTTTGGGGAGTTCTAGAAGTTCTTCTCAGTACTTTCTTGTCTCAAACACTTCTACTTTCCCCAAATGAGAATGTGTTGGTGATTAGTGGACATTTTTATTTTTTACTTTTTAATTTCGTCAGTCCTGTATCTATTCACTGTTTTTTGGTGATGACATTGATGTCTTCCTTTTGGGAAACGGCGTGTCTCTTACCAGTTGCACTCATTAAGATGCCCTGATCACCCCTAGCCAAGGGGAAGGTGTCAGACCTGAGTGAACCTGGATGGATGCTCCCCCTGGAACCTGAGTCTTGATCAGTGACAATGTGAGACTGAAAACAGTTGGAGCTCACTTATTCCAGTGACGACACTCTGTGTAGACTATTGCAATATTCCTGCTACATAGACTCTGACGTGGCATTACTTTTTGTCCTCGGCCGGACCTGGCTCCCCAGCCTTCCCTTTGACTTTGTGAACTCTCCTATATCTTTCTAGTAAATTTCCTTTTGGCTTAAGTTAGCCAGAGTAGATTTCTGATGTTGACAACCAAGAATGAGCTCAACCTTAATGAGCACATTGGGCTGTCTGACCTGGGAATCCCAACTACCTCTTTCCGGCAGAACTATACTAACGGGAGGGTCAAAAAGTGTTTGTACATGGCCCACCACGTGCCAGGTGGTGTGCCAGGGGCCTTCACCATGTAATCTAGTTTTACTCTCATAACAATGCCACAGATGGAAATCATTTAATTTTTTCCTAATTTTGAAAATTCTAGTAAAATATACGTAATATAAACTTTACCATTGTGACCATTTTAATTTTAATTTTATTTATTTTTTTTGAGGAAGATTGGCCCTGAGCTAACTACTACCAGTCCTCCTCTTTTTGCTGAGGAAGGCTGGCCCTGAGCTAACATCCATGCCCATCTTCCTCTACTTTATATGTGGGATGCCTATCACAGCATGGCTTGCCAAGCGGTGCCATGTCTGCACCCGGGATCTGAACCAGTGAAGCCTGGGCCACTGGGAAGCAGAACGTGTGAACTTAACCACTGCGCCACCAGCCCAGCCCATTGTAACCATTTATAAGTGTACAGTTTAGTGGTATTAAGTACGTTCATATTGTGCAACCATTGCCACCGTCCATCTCCAGATCTCTTTCCTCTTACAAAACTGAAACTCTCTGCCCATTAAACACTGACTCCCCATTCCCCGCTCCCTCCAGCCCCTGCCAGTGATGATTCTACTTTCTGTCTCTATGATTTTGATGACTTTGAGCCCTCATATAAGTGGAATCATACAGTATTTGTAACTTTGTGACATTGTCAAATGTCCTCAAGACTCACCCATGTTGTAACATATGTCAGAATTTCCTTCCTTTTAAAGGCTGAATAGTATTCCATATAGGTATAGACCACATTTTGCTTATCCGTTTACCCATCGATGGACACTTGGGTTGCTTCCACATTTTAGCTCTTGTGAGCAATGCTGCTGTGAACTTGCTTTCAATTCTTTTGAGTATACACCCAAAAATGGAATTGCTGGGTTATATAGCAATTCTATTTTTAATTTTTTGAGGGACTGCCACACTGTTTTCCACAGTGGCTATACCATTTTACATTCCTACCAAGAGTGCACAAGGGTTGCAGTCTTTCCATATCATTACCAGCAGTTTTATTTTCTGTTTTTGTGACAGTAGCCATCCTAATGGGTATGAGGAGGTAGCTGTTATTTAATTGGAGATGCAGATATTGAGGTAAGTAAATTGCCTAAGGTCATATAGCTTGTAAGTGGGAGAGCTGGGGTTCCAATCCATGTCCAGTGGTCTTTCAATGTCTGCCCCTTTTCCTTTTCCTTGACTATAATACTTCTGTTAGGAATCTAAAAGTACTCAATAAAACTAAATTTGTTCTTTGGAAAAATTTATCAGCTACTAGGAAGATTTAGGATCCCAAAATTAGTCTCAGTCCAACCATAGGAAACATGCACTTGAACTAGAACAGACGCCCAGGAGACTCGGGCAGTTGCAGTGCTTCCTGACCACGGAGATGAATCAACTCAACTCCCTCGTCTCATGGAAAAGGAAACGGAGGCCAGCGGATCTCTCTGTTGTCAATTATTACTGAACTTACTATTTGCCAATAATGAGGTTTAGATCCAAACCTATTCAGTTTCACCACGAGACAGTTGGGACTGTGTAAATTTATACAGCTCAATTAAGATCCTGGAGCTGAGGGGACCTCCAGGTCTCATAATAATGTACTTGTCTGCCTCTATCCTGCGAGCTTAAAGGGCGTCAGCAGGCTGCCTTTCTTTGCGGGCCCACTTCCTTTGTAAACATTCCAGTTTCTTTCACACCTCTCAGTCTAACGACATTTCTACATGCAAATGCGGAGTACTTGAGATGTCTGTTTAAGAGCTAATATATTCCACTTAAAGGTGTTTAAAATTATTATTTGAAAATTAGAAGCAGCGTTAAAAGTAAATTGAAGTATTAAAGAGTTGTCGAAAGTGACCTTGAGTAAATGTTCACAATTGGAAACAGCATAAGCCCCAGGTCTCACAGTAAACAACTAGGGTGAAAGATGCTCGTGAAGGGAGCGTTTTCTCCAACCTGGGAAAAGAACAGGAACAGGGGGTCTGCACAACGTGGTGCAAACTTGTTAGGCTCACTTAGGACGCTCCACAACTCAGCTGAGCGTAGCAAATGTTTACTGACAGCCTTGTACCGTGAGCTGCTGAGCAAAGAGCTTGGAGAGTGCAAAGACCACCAGACTTGGTGGTCCTAACTTCAAGGGGCATGAAAACTGGTTAGGAGATAACAGAGGCCACAAAAACCTCTAAAAGGTCTCCAGTGAGAAGTGGAACAAAGTCCACAGAGATGTACTGTAGCTGGGCCCAGGCACCCGTGCTGGGGGAGCCAGGGGAAGCTACAGAGCTGCGTTCCCAAGGACCAATGTGATTTTGATAGGCAGGGATGGGGGACGGTCATGCACCCAGAAAGTACAGTGTGAACTGAGGCCTGGAAATGAGCCATGTGCCCATAAACTTTCTATTTCAAGTCCTGAACCCTCCTCTGTGGACTCTCCCCCCCACCCCTTCATCTCTCTCCCTACTAAAATCCTAACCACCAAGAACTGATATAAAAATATTAAAAATGACTGTGTTAGAAGGGTGAGATTATAGGTAATTTATTCTCTTTATTTTCTAGTTTTGTTTTTCTTTGGAAATACGATTATATTACAGAAAAATTATTTTTTTTTCAGATATTGTACATACCCCCTGAGGCCAGCTCAAATCCTTGTCCCTCACAGCTGCCCCTGACCACCCCATAATGTTAAATTTGAATCGGAAACGGTAATGTGCACTCTCGCGTAAGGAGTGTGTGTGTGTGTGCATGTATGGGCTCTGTCCACCCTAAGAGCCTGGAAGCAATGAGATCTCAGCAGTAACGAGCACACCCAGTGCATGGATGTTGCACTAAATATCATTTTCACTAAATTGAGCCAAGGCTCTTCGGGGAAGACCTGGGGAAGGGAAACACAGCCTGGTGGGCCTGGGACATCCCATAGTTCCAGAAAGAAAGGAAACCCTCCGAGACTAACACGGCCTGTCAAGGAGTCAGCTTGAAGGAGCTCCCACTGGCTAAATGTGGAATAATTTAGGCATTAACAGGAAAAAATGAAGAGAGAGAGAGAGAGAGAGAGAGAGAGGGAGAGAGAGAGAAAGGAGGAGGAAGAGCAGGAGAAGAAGCAGAGCAGGAGAAGGAGCGGCTGGCTCCTCACTGGTGGCCGCTGACTCTTACTCTGACGATGGGTGTATAAAGAAAAGGAAGTAGACATTTACCCCGTCTTCGTAGGAGGAATTGGAGTTTTTCCCTGGTTGAGCAGAGACAGACTTCCTCCCCAGAGAATGCTAGGTAACAAAGGTTTTAAATTGAACCCTATGAAATTGTTGATATTCAACTATCTTTAATCTATAAAATTTTACCTGGTTTAACCAAATATGGAATGAAAGAACTAGAAAAACCAACATTTTGCAACCCCCAAAGAAATAGTTGATTCAGAAGAATCATCAAGGGATGCTGAAATGACTATGTGAAAAGTTTGGGGCAAAAGAATGTTCCCATGATGCCAAAGGGTCCCCCCTCGGGTCACTTACTGATTGTGAAAGTAAGAATGTACCTTTCCACCTCAGTGGTGAGATCTGGCAGCCGTCACCTTAACCGGGTGGGGAAACTGGGCTTTGCTGATGGTGAGACAACCTCACTGTCGTTTCTCCGGACGTGACGCAACCTGAAATTCACAGCATGACCTATGAGGCATTCTAGCCAAAAACATTTAAGCTGTATGTTGGTTCCTCTCCATTTGCCCTTATAAACCCACTCGGTG